AATTATTGGATTGTTTTGGCAATTTAATTGTGATATTACTATTCAATTTGGAGCTGAGTTTGAAAGATCGACGATTATGCGGCGCACAGTTTGCTTGGACTGAGAATTGTAAAATTCACATATTATAATTAATATTATCAAACAGCTAATATTTCGAAAAATATTATCTCAGCCAGCCTGGTTAATATTTTTCGAAATAAGTTATTTTCACAGAATTTAAAAAAATATTCAATGAGCATCAAATTATTAGATTGTTTTGGCAATTTAATTGTGATATTACTATTCAGTTTAAAGCTAAGTTTGAAAGATCAACGATTATACGGCGCGCAATTTGCCTAAACTGAGAATTGTAAAACTTATATATTATAATATTAAGCACCAAGATCCGCTTTGCCTTGGCGTTTTTGCAAATAATATCATGTAATATAAGTGTTCATATGTTTCTCTAAACATGATTTATTAAAATCATGTTTAGAGAAACATATGATTTTATTAAAACTCTAAATGACACAATTAGAATAAAAATAGACACGTGTACATATGAACACTTATAATACATGATATTATTTTATAGAATAAATACTTGTGAAAAGATATTTGTATATGTAAAAGATTAATATTTAGTATACATATATCTCTAATAATGTTTATTTATACTTACGGCTACTAAAACTTTCCTATTAATTATCTACTAATCTATTAATTACCTATTTTCCACCGGCGATCGTCATCTGTGATCATGTCTACTTTATTTAGTAAATTTGTTTTGAGTTCCTCCACATTTCTGGATTCTGGATATCTACCGGCAATACCAGAGATAACGATTTCTTCACCAGGTCTAGGTGCCGTGTAACCCCTTTTAGTTGGTTTTCCTACAGGCATCGTTCTCACAATCTTCTGATTTCGTCAATTCGAAGAAAAGAAATGTTGATGTAAAATTAGTTAATTATTGAAATATTATTTTATCAATTGAAATTTCTCAATTACTTCATAAATTCTGACGGATTTTTATACTTAATTCTTTATGCACTGTATAAAAATGTAACGTTTTATTATAAGAACTTAACGAGGGCATTCGATTCTATGAACGACGAACTGCGACTGAGAGACAAGACAGCGGAAAACAGCGTGTTTTTATAACGAAGAATCCCTACCTACTATGAATTCCATTATTGTTACTTTGAACTTCCTTTAATTTGCATTACTAGTGAGAAATACGTTAAATCACTTTTTGGATAGCTAGCTTACTATTTTAAGTATTATTTAACGTGGAATTAAATTTAACAAATAATCACAGAATAACAATGGATTTCTGGGCGCATTATATTATTCATGTGCGTGCATAATATAATGAGATTTATATACTATATACGTTTTAATTAGCATAGACAATTTTTGTTAAATCTTTTTTATATAAATAAAAAAAGACATGCGTTTTTTGCTATTATAAAAGCACGGATTGAAAATTATGATAAATTTTTGTTTGTAAATGTGGAATCTAGCTAGATATTTCATTGGTTTACTCATAACCGAAATTTTTGAGTCTTGTGTACAATAAATTATTAAATTGCCAAGTTTTACAATGTGTAAATTTTGCGTTTACATTTTTACGTTTTTCACATATAATTTTTCACTTTTAACACATCAGAATAAAAGCATTTTGTATATAATTCATATTATTAGACATGATGCATAGAGGAAAAGAATTGAGTAAAATAGAATGTCAGATTTAACAACACATTTTATTATTATTTTATTAAATATTATTAAATATTAATGCTTTTATTCTGATATGTTAAAAGCAAAAAATTGTATATAAAAAATGTAAAAATGTAAACGCAAAATTTACACATACATTGTAAAGCTTGGCAATTTAATATATATTGTATATATATATATATATATATAAGAATAATTTGTAAAGATTATTAAAAACATAAAGTGTCCTAAAATGATATATATATAACAGACTTGACCGAATAAAAAATGGTATGCCGTTCGACAATTTTGATTGTAATAAGTCACGAACAAAATCTTTGAATGTTCTTTTCCTGTTGCTCGTGTAATGAATATTCGACATGGCAGGGACACAAAAGTCAAGGGTGGCCGGATATCACATCAGAATACATAATGTATATTTTCGTTAACGCCTTAGTATTGTATCGACATATGCCGTCATACACGTATGTATTGCAATATCACATGAGTTACAAGTAATTTATGATTCGTTTTTACAAAAATATTTCTTTAAACTGTGTTTTCCAATTTCAATAAATTCCAATAAAATCACTACAAAAAGAAAAAAATACTTCTAAACGTTGATAATACCCGACTAATTTTCAGAAACAGATATAGTAAATCGCACAATATCATTAAGATACATCTTTATTATCTTATTCATTTTTAGATTAAACTATAAAAATACAAAAATTTTATTCTGATATATAAAGAATATATTATAATATTATGCTGCTAACATATTAATTTACATAATATAATCCTTTAAGTACAGTTACTCTTCTTGTTTATAGATAAAAGTTACTCATATATTTATCGTGGTTGTACTATGTAAAAATAAAGCTTATAATGTTACCTACGAACATTTTTGAAATTAGGAATTCTAATACGAATAAAAGTCGTGTATTTGATCTTTAACCCTCTGATCGTACGATGCATTGAATTTATTCAACATAAATTTTGTTTGAACGTCAACGAATTATTTTATTATAATACGTTTTTTCTGTAATATAAAATTATAAATGTTTTAAAAATTATTTTATAAATGAATAAATGCATTTCACGATTATATTATGTAAACAAATTTATTTATCATAAGTTATCATAATAAATTAATCAATGAGAGTAGAATTAAATGTCTAGAAAAAAAACTTACCGATCAGAGAGTTAGTAACATGGCAAGTATCAAAGATCTTCATTAAATATATAGTATATGTTTTAATGAAGCGTTTAAGTTTTAAAGAAATGTAATAACTAATTATAAATTAGATACTATTCCACAGACGTCATTTTTCTTCGTAATAACTGCTGTTATAAACATATAAATACAGCTTCTGAGTCAAGAAACAATGACAAGATTAAATCAAATATCATGTACAAGATCGATTTTAATATTTGTGTACCCCAGCAAAGTGTACTTTTTTCCCTTGTCCGTCTAAAGCCTCCATTAAGCTTGATGTAAAACTAAATTCTGAACTACTTTCGTCTTCTTGACCTCTGGAAAAAGTAAATGTAATTAATGTCTGTTATATTAGAATTAGTTATTTATGCTAATAATTTTGCCTTGAGGAAAGAGAAGACATACAATGTGTCAAGACTTGTTAAACTGCCGTTCAATGTTGGCATACTGATAAAACCATCTATCTTCAATAATTCGAGGTAAGAGTTAATAGTGGCCACATAAATTCCTTTTGAACCGGTTGTGCCTAAATAACGTGGACTAGATAATTCGATTAAGGTACGTTCAGGATTCCTTTCCGAAGAGCTGTATGCTTCCGCATCGAGTTTCACAATTTCAACAGACGAAAAATGAATAATGAATAAGTACGGTTTGCAAAATGCTAAAATAAGATAATAAGTCATTAACAAAGTAATTTATGTGATTGATTAATATGTAACTAAAATTGATATCTACCAAAAGCAAACGGTAAATGGTTCCATACTGGATCAACAGCGCGAGTCCTTCTACCATTTTCGTCCACAAATACGCCAAATTCATTATAGCACAGTAAAAGTTCCGCCGTGCCATACGTATTGGAGATATTCAGAACAGACACGGGAAATATGCCAAGTTTAGCCGCGCCCGATATTGCCGCTTTAATTGAGCTATTGTCTTCTTCCGGAAATTCTAGAAACATCGTTTTACGTGTTATGTTTTTTTCCTGAATTACATTTCTTGCTCAAATAAAAATGATTACATGTTTACTGTCCCGTAAGAAATTACTACTTTAAAAATCATGTGTAACAATATTATATGTGCATACGCACATATATGCATATACTTACCGTTTACGACGTAAGTACGCAAATCGATCTGTAAGAATTTATGACAACCTACAATAAGAACATTCGTAGTAAATATAGCACAACTGCAAGGCTCCTGTGTATCAAATTCACGAAGCCCGACGAATTCCCCGGAATCCTCTCCGATTCTCCATCTCAATAATCTGTATTAATACATAAAATAATGAAATTACTAGAATTATATTTCAATCAAATCTGTATTATGTTTATAAATGTCTTGAAAATTACATACATCACATGAGATGCAGTTGCGGCGCATAATATGTCGCCTTGCAATTGATAAAGATGACAACTATCAGACGTAGATAGCACGCCCTTGGTATTGATCGCCGGTTTAGAACAATCGGCGGCCAACGCATTATTCTTCAATAGTCTCAAGTTGCAATATACTAATTCCCTGTATTCACCAGCTATCATTAAAGCTACATCCAAGTGGGAATGCAAAGAGAGCTGGTGTATTTGCTTGACACCGCGTATTGTAGTGAGCGTCTGAGATTTTGAAGCGCAATATGAAAATAGACCTTCTTTCGCACCCAGCAAAAGTACATTTTCCACACCCAGATCCACAACACAGTTCAAATCCAACTAGAAACAAACGGGGTTATATTAATATAAAATAGGAAAACGAGAAACTTGTACAAAATATTATGCAAAAAATACAATCACTAAAAACAATTATAATCGAGTTGATTTTGTTAAATAAAAAAAGTCTCAGTCTCGCTTTTTTTGTGTTAGATTTTGTAAAATGGGCATAATGTATAATTTATTAGTAATTTTAATATCATCATAAAAACATCACTCACCTGATGTTTTTCTAATCTAAGTACAGTTTGATACTTTTTGCATTTTGATATAGAATACGAGTTTTGAACAGTAACGGTCTTTAAAGTTTTGAGCCAATTCCTCTTATCGGCCTGACTCAGTGCCATGACGTCCAATCTAGACGAAGGCCAGCAAGTCGTCGCAGAATTCGATTCTATTCTAAAAATAAATGGGATGTCGGATTTTGCCGTTCCTAATACGTCGGGATACTGCACCATCTCAGAAATATTAAAGCCGTTGTTCTCTATTAAATTTAAACGACTGATCGGTGACATCCCTGCACACGGCTGATGCTCGTAGATGCACAGACACGATCCTTCCAACTTCAAGTACTTTCGCTCCCAGCAGGATTTTGATCTGCCAGGAACTTTTACCCATCCTTCCATAGAAACTTCATTCTCTTTGCAAGGAGCGCTCTGTAGATCCTGCACAAGATACATATAAGTACATAAATTGTCATGCAAATAATGGCGTTAGGAATAAATAAAATCTGATTTCTCACATCTGGTTTATCCGGCTGATCTATCGCCAAAGTCTGGACGCTATCTCCGATCGACGATAAGCTTTCATCGCTATCCTTAAAAGATTTATGACAGTATTTAGGCAAATTACTCGGTAAACCACAATTGGCAGGTACAGACACCACACATTCCAAGTGCGTCATGATTTGACATTCGCTGCAGGTCGCGGCGCGTCTTCCGAACTGTATAGCCTTTGGACATACAGCGCACTTTCCAGCGCGCATAGGCAATCCGACATTGAATCTATGTGGAATGTTATGCCCTATCCTCTGCGGAGATAATTGCCTAAGCAACGAGCTGATTTCTGTGACACTCTTCATCTTTTTGCCTTCGCGTTCTGGCGTCGTTGGAGACGCAGGTGCAGATGCAGGCGCGGAAGCAATCCTAGCTTTCTGAATTAACAGCTGATCAGTCAACGTTTTCACCTTCGCCCGTTCTTTGGCGAGCTGATTCTCTAGTTCTCTAACTCCCACAGGCACACCCATACCCATAGGTGGCATGTTCTCTTTTTGCTTTGTGCCAAGTATCTTGTCGCACATGGTCTTCTTTTTCTTACTGCATTCCTCCAACTTTAATTGCAAATAGTCAATCAGCTTGTTTTGTTGCTGTCGAGTACTCTCGGCCTTCACTTCTCTTTCCTGATAGAATTGTCTCATCTCGTCTAAGACGTTTTCTAATTCCGCTATTCTTAACCTCAGTTCCTGACCCTGATCTATGCTATTCTGCAGATCAGCCATAAGCCCGAAATTCACCTCTTTCAATTCGTGCACTCTCGTCAAGTAGTCGCTGCTCTCTTCCTTCACGACTCTCGATTCTCCTTTAGCGGCTTCTAAAGCACGGCCCATTTCCGAGAGATCGCACTCCATTTCACCGCATCTCGTGCTCAATTCTTCAACTTGAATAGTGAGATCCTGAACGAGTTTCTTATACTGGTCTCTTTGAACGATAAGACTATTTTTTTCGCTCTCTATGTCACTCGTTTCAGATTCCAATTGTTCGACGTTACGTTCGGCGACTACTCTTCGTGTTTTCTCATCATTCTGCGCAATACGCGCTTCATGCACCCTTGTTTCGGTAGCTTCCAAGTCTTTCTGCAGCTTCATTTTATCCTGAATAAGCATATTCATATTTGTTTCATGCTCGCTTGTTAATCTTTCGTAGTCTGTCAACTGCTCTTCTAAGACTGTACAGGTTTCCTTTAGCAATTCAACATTTAATTCGAATCCTTTGATATCCTGCTCTAATTTTGCAGCTTTAGACTCGAGTTCGGTTTTTTCTTCGTTATGCCTAGCAATTGTCTGTGTCAAACGCCTGTTCTCGGTACTCAGAGCATCGACACGTTCTTGATTCGATCGCATTTGCTTACGAGCCGCATCCAATTCTCTACGTAATGATGCACTCGAAGATTGTAGTTCCTCAATTTGACGATTAGCTTGGGTCAGAGCCTGAAAAATATGAGAAATGAGTTAAAAATATAAAACAGAAAGATGTAATAAAAAATTTTTTTTCGACAGGAATTTTTATTTATATCAACAAAAAAAAACTTTAAAAACTTTTATATACATATATAATGAATAATACCCTTTGTGCTGAATCAGCCTGCATTTTATGCCTGGACGCCTCTTTTGTAATATCATTCAATGATGTCTTTGCAATATTTAATTCTTTCAATAGCTTCTTAGAATTTTCCTCTTCATCTTTTACTCTGCCGTTTAATTTCTCTTGTAACGTTTGCTTCTCCTCCTGTAGCGCTTTTATTTTATCCTCGGCTCTCTTAGCTTCCCTCACAGCTATACGTTTATCTAAGTTAGCATCTGATAACTCTTTTTCCTTCTTCCATAAAGCTAACTGAGCTTGCTTCGCCGTTTGCTTTTCAACTGTTATTTCTTCTCTTAACGTTTGAAGTTGCTGCTTCAGTTTCTCTACTTCTTCTTGTCTATGAAATACCTTTGTGTCAGTAGCTTGAATAATTGCTGCGCGAGTTGCAGCTGGTACCTCATCCAATTGTTTAAGAGTAGCATTCTCTGCTTCCAATTTTGTAACACTATACTCCAAACGTTTCAGTAATTCCTCCAAATTGCAAACTTTGCGCAATTGTTCCTCTGCAATTGAATAATAATTAAATGGCAGAATAATGTAAAAGGGAAATGATTAATAATCTCATTTTTAGAATTTTACCTTCTTTTTCCAAAGAATCTTGTAATCTCTTTTGCAACGCGGCCTTATCCTGTGCCGCATGCTCTAAATTTACAGCAAGCGCCTCACTTTGCTCCAAATTTATCATGGTTTCATTTAAGTCAGATTTGGTGATCTGTAAAACGCAATATTATTAGGTTTATTATACTAATCTTTTGTAAAATATTTAGATACCCACTTGCAATTGTTGCTTTAATTGCTCATTTTCGAGATGCATCCTTTCCAATTGTTCTTGCATAGTTGTGAGCAATTGCTCCGATGTTTTCAGATCGTCTATCTGTCTCGCTCTCTCCTGCAGTTGCTTACGTAAAGCCTCGATCTCGGCGTCTCTGGCCGGCAGCGTGGCTTGTATAGTACGTAATTGTTCTTGACAATCTTTTAATTCGTTTTGAGCAAGTTCTAAAGCAACATTCAGTCTGGACTCGCGACAATGATTTGAATCCTGCTCGTTTCGTAACCTAGTCTCGAGATCTGTGTTCTTCGTCGCTTCAAAGTCCAATTTTGCTCGCAAATCGGCCAGCTGATTGTGAGCACGTGTGGAAATCTCCTCCAATTTAATTTCTACGCCTTGGAAACTTTGTCTACTCAACTCGCGCGTCTTTGCCAAGGATTCCATATATTTTGCCTAAACATGTATTAATAGAGAATTAATGCTATTAAGCCTCAATTTACATTTTTCTTTCATTTACAATTTTTTGTTGTTGGAGTTAGCAATATTATTCAATAGACAATTATGTTACATTGCATTAAATTATATCATTAAATTATTATATATTATGTTACTCACTTGAAATACACGCAATTTATCTAATTCTGCATTTGCAGTTTGCAGTTCACTCTCTGTCCTCTGCAGACGTGAACTCATTTCATTGTTACTGGTGCATAATTCTGTAATTTTTGTGGTTTGTGTTTCAATATGCTTGTTTAATTGTGCAATTTTGTCCTTCTCCGCATTCTCCCATTTGCGCTTAGCGTCCCTTATTAATCCAAGTGCTCGCGTTTCTAAATCTCTCCTCTCTTGCCGCTCCAATTCTATTCCAAGAGACACATTAAGCTTTTGTCAAGCATAATAAATGTAACTTACTATCGATTAAAACAATCGTGGACTATATCAACTTTCCTCCACAAATGCGTTTGTATCAAAATTTAGCAATGAATTTAGATGTTACAATTATTAATATATTAATAAATTACATACCTAATGTCCTTTTAATGCCTGCCAATTCTGACCTCGTAGTTATCAGTTCTTTCTCGAGTATGTCCCTCTCCTTGTTGGAAGCTTCCAATTTTCGCGTTTTATCTTCCATCTGAGATTCCATCTGCGAGAGCCCCCTGACTTTGTCCTGTAGCTCAAGTATCCTTTTTTGTTTCTCTTGAACCTCTTTCTTTTTCTCATCCAACTTCGTCTCCAGCTCCATCTTTTCCTTGGAAAATTTGTCCGACTGTAGATGTTTAGGAAACTTATATTCAAAGTATGGAGATGCTCCTGATCCCGACGGAGTCTCAGTTTTCGCAGCTTCAGCTACGAAGAAGAATAAAATTGTATATGATATAAAAAGAAGAAAAATACAAATTTAAAATCTACACAAGAGCTCATTGTTAATTAAATTAAACGTACATAAACCCAAACTTCTTCTAATACCAGCCAAATCCGATCTCACAGCCACTATTTCCTGCGCCAGTTTATCCCTCTGTTTGACGCTTGCATCCTGCAGTTTCTGTGACTTCTCGTTCGGATCGCAGAAATACTTGGGTTTGCCGCGAAGCCTCTCACAGGTCTCCGATGCCTTCTTGTACCGCTCGTACCGCGATCTTTCGTTGCTTCCCAACTCCATGATATTTTCCGCAGCCTCGTTCAGATAAACAATTTCTTAACAATGAACTGACATTTATCTCAAACGAAATCTCAGAAAAGGAGTTTCTGAGATTAGTATTTCATTCCCTTTCATTCGTACGTCCTGAGTAGATCGAACTAGAACCGGGGAGAGCCGAGCACCCTTCCGAATACGCGAGAGGAACGTTCAGGAACCGCTCGGGAGAGATGTCTCGTGCACTTTCACGGAATTCCGAATTATTCGTGACTGAAGTACAGATGAACGTTGTCTTGGCTCCTCCTCGTCTCACTGTTATTTCCAAATCGCGTGTTTATACGTGAGTACGTTAACCATGACGGCGATGCTTGCCCAACGTCAAAGTTTACGTTTCTCCGCGTCGTCACTGTGGAATTACTTCTAACGGTTCACGAGCAACTCCGTGCGCGTACAATATTTGAATGTAATACACCGCTTGCGACGTCAGAGCGCGCGCGGGATTTTAGCGATCGCGGTGACCTCTGACGATTGTTTGACGAGGAAAAATCGGTAAAGAACCACGACTTGAATCGACAGATACATCTCAAAGTGAAATATCCGGCATACAAGGGTAAAACAGAATGAGAATCTATATAGCATCCCTCGATTTTCCACATTGAAAAAAAGGGATCACGAAAAGATAAATTATGAAGTTGAAAAAAAACAAAATTAAATCTTTTAATAAGACGCATCATTAAGTTCAAAGAATTCTTCTCTTAAAGTAACTTTCACATCTTATACTCAATAAACTCTCTTATATAATACTTTATAAAAATATTTTACAATATATTTGTATTGTGAAATTGAAAAAAAAAAAAACAAAATTAAATCTTTTAATAAGGCCTATCATTAAATTCAAAGAATCCTTCTCTTGAAGTAACTTTCACATCTTATCTACAAACTCTTATATAATACTTAATAAAATATTTTACAATTATTTGAATATATATTTAGGATAGAGGAAAGGTAAAATTGCGGAAAATACACAAAAAAGGAAAGGTATTCAACACAAACGAACGTGGCAAGAGTATACTGTATTTTGTCCTTTTAATCATTACCATAACGAACCGTTACTTACAAATCAAACTGTGATTGTGGTTCTTCCTGCGAGTCTGTAAGTGTGTCTCATGTAACAGTGTGTGTGTACGTGTGCAAAACGTTGCCTGTATGTATGTTCTCTTTTATGAAATTATCGTTTATCGTCTATTTAGCATTGCTTAGCGATACCATTAACGCCATCGTTATTGATATTATCATTATAATTACTTTGATACAATAAGGCGCTATGCGGTAGTAAATAATATATATAATAATGTATATAACTTTAATTTTAAATACATGAACGTAATAATTCAGCATTTGAGTTTGAGGCAATTATATATTTCGTTGTTTTAATTTCGTAATTGCTCTATGATTTTTGTAAGTTTACGAAACGCTCTATAAAATCGAACGTACGTTTCATCGATAAAAATACATTTTTAAATAACGTGGAGTGAGTTTACCACTATGTTTTGCAAACTTTTGTATATATTTATATATATTTATGTATATATAAATATATATATATATATATATATATATATATATGTATATGTTATATATATATATGTAATATATAAATACACATACATATGTATATTTATATTTCTAGACGCGTAGATATAATCGTTAAGATGCGTATATACAAAGATATGTACAAATATATTTTCCCGTTTTTTTTTCATTCGTTATCACTCTCCTCTCTCCTAACTGCCAACATCTACATCGTGGGTTCCTTGATATACACGTAATATGGCATCCGTTACCTTGGATAACTCTCGTCAAGCTATACGAATAATCTGAATTAAGTATCAAAATCTTTTTATTTCCCGTATTAACGCTAAATCCCGTGAAACACTATTAAAACGGCCAAGTTTGCTTTCGATGCAAACAAGAAAAGAATTTAAAAAATCTTTAAATTAAAAATTTTCAAAGAAATTCATGTGTCGGACGACGTTAAAAAATTTTCCTTTGTCTAACATCGTGTATTAAAAATTTCGTCAAAGTCTTCAATTATCAAAATTTTTGCCATTTCAGAAAATCTCAGAGACTATCGTTATATAGTATATTGAAGGCGAAGTCCAAAAATTTCTCTTTTCCGCAATATTTTTGTTATATATTTTGTTTATATATTTTTACCATCGCAATCGACGAACGTTTGGAGTAACACAACTTGCACATTTTGAAATCTCTAATTTATCGATAATTACGACGGTATTCTTTTTAAAATTTTTTAAAATACAGTTAAAAAATCAGCGAGACAAATGTAACATAGACTGCATGTGCAACTCTAAAAAAAATTATTCCCTATACAATCTCATTAGCATCGAATATGTGAGTACTTGTCCATGAATCAGATGTATAGATTCTTATCTTATCTTAAAAAACATCTTATGATTAATTCAAATCGTCACAACAGTGTCGCTTATTTGCGGAAATGAGTATTTTCAGTTGTCGCGCTTCTGTTTGAATGCTCATATGCAACCACAGTGTGATAACACGAGCAACGTAACGATTAGAGAGTGCATATTGTCCCAGCAAATCGTGATACAACTACCGAGGTTCATTACAAATAATTGTAGTTTAATCATACTCTCACGTTAGTATCAATACGGGCGTAATTACATAATACATATATTACAATTACATAAAAAAAAAACTATGTAATTCTCAAGGAAAAATTATCTTTCACTTGTTTATTGCAGAAGAATCATCTCCTCGTCAATTGTATCACGATATCTTGTATCGGATACCCTGTATATATACTCGCGGCGCTTTCCCCGCACGACTAATTCAACAATAAGGCACATTGTTGCACGATCTATTGGTGGAGGAGTGGTTCGCGCGGTTCGAGACAAACAGAGATTATGATGTCGTTCTACATCTAGATCGCCGAAAACGACAACATGACCTCCTGGTCGATCCACCCCGTCCTTCCAATTCCCTGGCACTTATGGTCTCAAAAAGTAGCACAACCCAAAATCCCGGACGATGGTCAACGCCAACGTTCGTCCGAGAACGATTGGGACAAGGCAGTCTGTTTCTACAACTTTGCCAGAAATAACAATTATTGATATTGTAATAATTTTGAAAACTCCATAGCTAAAACTAAAGAAGTAAAAATAAAGTTGCAGCTGATTGATTTGCTATAGAAAATTAGCAAGCAGAACTTGCGCAAACATTTCATTTGATGAAATGTTTTGATAAAAATCTGATCAAATAAAAAAAAAAGATGTAAAATCCGGAGCGAAGAATTTGGTTTAATTAAATTTTGAAGTTATTTTTTAGAATTATGTCGTCAGAATCAATACGCGTGAAGGACGTTTGGATATTTATTTCCACTGGATTTATTCGCGATCCGGGAACTCAGAACTAGGAAAAACCAAACGCATTATAAAAAAAAAAACAGCGCCGAAATCGAAGCGAAATTCACTAGTCAACCTGGGCGCGGCCTTCTCCCGTTAGACTTTCAAGTCGCAGACCAGCTGCTCGGTGGGTCATGTGCTCCGACGCACAGAGGGAACGAACGACGCGACATGCGAGGGTGTCGCGGTCGCGATTCTCGCGACGTGGACTCGGACGAGTTGGGTTAAACACAATTAAATAGCCTATCGTAGGGAGTATCGTTTAAATAATTTACGTTTCTGTATATATACACACAATCACGCTCGCGTTCGCGCGTAATTCTCGCTGCTGCGTTCGTCGAAAGGTTGCTTCTGATACCCAGAATTGGCACATGCACCGCGATCATTACTGGTCATCAGTTATATATCATCGGCTACGTCTTCGCTGCATGCAATTTGGTCAACGGCAATATATCTTTGATGCATTTCTTATCCTTTCGAACTTCTTTAATGTGCGTGTCTTACAATCTGCGCATGGCACCTGGGATTCAGAGTCAGGAGACAGCGGTTTTGTGATCGCTATCTTTCTTTCTCTTTCTCTCTCTCTCGTCTTTCCCCGTCTTCCTGCTACTTTAAATTCAAAGAGGAACACATCTGTGAACGCGCAATTGCAGCTTCGTCGCGCGATAGCTTGGAACATGCACGATTTTCCGGCCTTCATACTTCCACACCGAGGACCCGATCAACGACATATTCGTACCTCTTCGGCTCTCCATTACCATTCTTCTCGGCAGACTTCGGTAAAGCCTCTCTCTCGCCGTTTTCCGCCGTCGAACTTCGCGCGCCAGTAGTCTCCGCCGCCGGTCGACCTTTAGCGTTCACGGACTTACTGTCGGCGTTGGACAACGCGGCCTCTTCCTCGTTGGCAATCACGACGACGATATTTCGATCCACGACACCGCCGCCGCTCTTTGAGATGGGCAATGCACTTCCACCGGGAACGCTGTTTGACCGCGTTGTCGAGGAATTCGTAAAACCGTGAGCGCTGGTGACGGGCTCCGACGCGTACTTTCTGTGTGTGTGCGATGTCGCAGAACACGTGGAGCCTTCAGCTCCAAACTCCTCAGGCGGTAGAACAGGAACGTTTAGATTCCCCCGCGTAAAGAAAGCCATTTTTTCTCTAAAAAAAAAAAAAAATAACGCTGCTAGTTTATCAAATGATCTTTATGAAAGATATTTTTTCTTCTTATTAATTTTTATATAATCTTAAAAAAATTATCGGAAAATTATAAATTTTCATCAAAATTTACATTCAAATTCACTTGAAAACATGACTTTTTGATTTATACTATTAATATTCAAGTTATTTGAACATTATTCAAATACATCAGTATCTTAAATATTATCAGATGTTATAAATAACAAATTCAATATTCAAATAACAAAAAAAACTGACAAAATATCAAGTACTATCCGAAAGAAAGGAAATTAAAATTAAGATTCATATTATCTAAAACATAAAAAAGTTTTGCTAACAAAGAATAAAATATAAATTCTAACCGTTTATTAAATTTTATTAAAAAATACGCTATTAACAAAAAAAATAATAGAGCAATTTTACGAAAAGAAAACTTATCACTTACTTGAAGGAAATTATGTCAGGCTTTCCCTTCCCAGCCTTCGTTTTCCTTAACTTGTAGATCTCTTTTGAAGTTTTCTTCAACATCTTCTCCACCTTTTTATCTTCGAGGCTCTTGCCGTTCTTGCCACTTTCGGCTTGCGCTATGAGATTTTGAAATTTCTGATCTTCCAGCAGCCATGTTGCTAGGTCGGTGTCGCCTTTCTCGCGCGCTTGTTCCAATCGTTGCTTCAATTCCCGTAACCTACTAAGCTCGTCTTGGAGATTATTCAGTCTAGCATGCTGCGCCTGGAGATCTAATTCGAGATCTAACGACGTTCTCGCTGTCGGTGGCAAATGAGACGACTTCTTCGTAGTTTTGTAACTGAGGGCGGAGGACGGTCGACGCCATCGCAAGGAACGTCTCTCCACCGAATTTCGTTGGAAAGGTCCGCCTCTACGATAAAGCGGCATACTGCTGTCGCTGTCGCTGCGATTAAGCTGCGTAAAACAAGAAAGAAATAAATAAACGACAGAAAAAAATTCGTCGGGATACCAAAATTCACATCTAAAGACACTATATAATAAAAACAAGTTGCCAAAGAGCAAGAAACAAAAATTCTGCAATTTTTAGATTGATGATTGATCAAATAGTTGAATTCTTGTATTGAAAAAACTCGAAAATTAAAACCCTCATATCTTGCAATTTTTTTTATTCTGTATAGAATTTTGTATGAAAAAAAACAATTACTACTAATAATAAGGAAAATTTGATCGACACTCACCCGACAGATATAATGATTTCTGCTGACGGCCGCACTCGGCGAGAACGTCTGGCTCCTTTTCACAGAAGAGTTTTTGTCGTCGTGAATAGCGCCGGGTGCGATGCCAGCCGCGGAGAGTTTCCTTTGCTTGCCCTGTTCCGGAATAAACACGCATTCAGTGTTTGTTTCCTTGTCCTGTGTTTGCCTTGTTTCCTCGTTCAACTCTTCATCTTCCTGTTACGTTATAAATGAAGAATCATTATAAACTCTGAAATCGATTTCTTCTTAATAAAATTGCCTATAGTTTTGATAAATAAACGGTTTAAGATTCAGCGCAAGTTTGATTATCGACAGAAAATCACTAATCGTAAAATAGTGGTAAACAAAAGTATCAAAAGTCTTATTAAATCAGTGATTATGCTTTTAATATACTCGATAGTGAATGGAAGTGATAAATAAATATCACCTAGCAACGTTTCTTACCTCGTGCTCCAAAACGTCCTCTAGAATATTTTCCTCCATCGTAAACTCCACGATAATACCTTCCTCGTCGCTGCCCTCGCTCCCGCTTTCACTATCATGGTCCTCATTTTCTTCTTCCGGGCTACGTCGACAATTCAGTTCTTCCAACTTCAATGTTACGGCTGTCTGCAGCTCGTCGCAGCCTTGATTCCTCGTCAAGGTGGACGTTTGGGAACTGATTATCGTACTCTCGTCACTACTTTCTTCTTTTGTATTCTGCGCGTTTCTGTATACCGAAATATCTGACTCCTGCTTGTCGTGCTTCGCCAATCTGACGCTCATAGAAGCGCCGTTGGTACTGGTACCGGGACTGTCGGACGGTTGCATGAAGCGGAAGGAGAGTATATTGTACCATTTCACGCTAGAAGATTCTGGACTGAAGTCTGCCAGCGAGACTTGAGCAGAACCCTGTAATCAAGTCGATAGGGATGACTGCAGACACTGTGCTATCGATTAAGATGTCTGTTTGTCAAAGATGTTGTTCAAAGATATAAAATTTCGATCAGTTTCGTTAATAAAGGATTGTCAAATAAAAAGAAATTTGAGAAAAGTATCCATACCAAACATTTCTCGGCCTCGGTACACCAAAGTGTCACTTGCAGCGTCTTCGTGAACAATTTGTTGAACGGCACGGCGATTGGGAACGTCTCGCCGAAGGTCGGTTTTCGCAAGTCCACGACGGATTTCGTGCAATACATGTGATTGACGAGCGATTGCATCGGCAGCAGGGCGGCTTTGATGTACCTGAAACCCCAAGAGAAAAACGTTATATTAGTTTCGTAGATAAAAAGGTGTTGCACTCTCAGGTCGCGGATTCGCTCGCAAATTATCAATTATTCTTTAAAAGAATATTCAGACGAAAGCAAATAGAATTCGAGGGCATAGACTCGATCTCTCTTTTCTCCTTTCTGTCTCGTTTCCTCTCTTTCCATTCATCGGCGAGATTGGAAAACGTGGGTTCACCACCACGTGAAAGATGGATCATTAATCAACCGCTCCCGCGTAACTATAATACATTAATCTGTCTCTCTTTCTCGACCGTCGAAGCGTCGGTCGTGCCGTTTTGCGAATTTATAGCTGATGGCCGGACACAATGGCCGCGGGAATAAATTCCTGAATGGCTGTAAAGCTAATTGCGAGACGCTGAGGTATCGCTGATAATAGCCGGCTTTTACGTAACAAAGGTGAGCGCGACGCGAGGCGCGCGGCTGGTCAATGATCCGGACACGAGTGTGCGACAAGGATTTCATAATTACATTCCAATTTCAGAAACGTCGGTAGGGGCCCCCGGAGTGATCGATCGGCCGGCCAACTCGGGTTATTAAGATCGCCGATTGCGAACGGCGAATAGAGACAAAAGTCGAGTGTATTTGCGTAAGCAACTCGCCGGCAGGTTGATCTAACATTGCGCAACGAAGTTATTTAATCGATGAAGTTATTTTTATAAAATAAGATACCGTTCGTGGATAGTTCGAGTTATCAGCGGCAACTATATACATTGCGATATTAACTAATCACTGATATAAATATTTGTTTTACGTTCTCCAAAAAATGAGAATTAAAAAGTGTAAACGATGCATTAGTCGCAGTATTGAGACAAGATAAAATATTGTTTGAAATATATATATATATATATATATATATATATATATCGTGCAAAAGTAATTAGAAAAGAATTATATAGATACTCACACTTGCGCGTTATCGGGTATGAAAAGCGCGGCCAGATTTCTTGCGCGTTCGATGCCAACATAAAGTAATTCGTCGCTTTTTGAATACCTAACAAATGTAAAATTATAGATTTTAATTCAGTTGTTCGTTTCAAGATCTAAATCATCACAATAACAAAAACAAACTCTCACAAAACCAAAAATAAATAAACTTGTATATAATAATTTATCAATATATATATTATTGTAGTTAAATAAATAGAAATGTTTATTTAAAACATTATGTTACATAAAAAATGAAAAATTAATTTATACATATACATAAATAAATCAATATACAGATATATAGTCCATAAATAAACGAAATATACCTCAGTTTAATCTTCACCTGCGCCGTTTCTAGGCTCATTTCGCCGGAAGCTAATGGGTCCACATCGGAAATGGGCTCGGACAATCTTTTCCGATTGCACGCTTCGAAGACACCGGAATCACCTGCGACGCTCTCGTCAGAGACCGCGGCGGAAACGGATCTGGTGTTGGTACCGGAACTGCTGGCTCTCGACCTGATCCCGGTAGGCGGTGGCGTCTCACTGATCGGCGACAAGGGGAGTGGCTCTTGCGGCAAGGACGATAGCGGTACCTGCTGCAATTGCAACTGCGCGCCGCCGCTACTCGCGCCAGGCCTGCCCAGGCCACTGCCTTGGGACATGTTACTCGATTGCAACTCGACGGGCGGATGGGGACCAACCACAAGTTTCAGACGATCCTGCGAATTCACGGAGCACGACTGTTCTTGCTGTGACGCTACTCCTTGCTGCTGACTAAGCCTAAACTCCGACAAACGGTCCTCTAATTGAGTCCCGTCCAGGTGCGACGTGACGGTACCACTGATCGCTGTCGCCGTTGTCGTTACAGCCGTCGCTGCAGGTGCCGCTCTCTGATACTGTCTCCTCTGCTGCTCCACCTGCTCGTAAGCAGGCGGCGGACCCATCGGCGCATTTTCGTACAACGGTGACACCGGCGGGCTTACACTGGACAAGCTCGATCTTGGGGAGAGACTGGGCTGAGATCTGCCGGGTGAAGGTGTGCCGACAAGATTGTTCTGCTCGGAACCGCGCAACAGTCTCTCGACACGTCTGTGAAGGTCGACCATGTCAACCGGTCGTTCCTGTTGTAAGCTAGCCGATCCCAGACACTGAGGACCACCGTAAATGTCCGTGAAACTAAGTCCGGAGCTAAGGGAACCTTTGCTGCTCGTCGTGCTGAGACTACCGAGACTGGAACTGCTGCTCACTGACAACGTGCTGGCGCTCAGAGTCTTCAATTGACCCTCCAACATTGCCATTGAGCGTAGCGCATTCCTAAGTTGCTGCAGTAGCAGTTGCTTCTCTTCGTGAAGTCGCACGCGATCGGTGATGGTCTTGTTCGAAAGCTCGAACGCAGTATTAAGGTCCTGCTCGAGCCTACGGATTTCCAATTGGATTTTCTTCATGTCCTGTTGCGTCCTTGTGCGCGGCGTGATGCTACGTAATTCCCTCAGTAATTGTTCCTTTTCTTGGAACAGTAACAGCTTGTCCTTGTCGCTCTCAGTTTGACCCGGCGTCACTTTTTCTTCGAGATCCGCCAACTGCTGTTGTATATGCTGAATCTGTTTTCTCGCCTCATCATATTGCAGCCTCATACGCGCCATTTCGGCCAGCCGGGTGCCGATCGGTACCAGCTCGCCCGAGAGATCGGTCTGGGAGGCTGTGCTGAGCTTCTCCTGCGGCAAGCTAAGCGTGCTAGCTTCCGGACTGCCCTCGCATAGTTGCAACCTGGTCAGTTCATCCTTTAGTTGCGCGAGCGATTGCATTAGCTCAGCCTTCTCCTTCTCGCCCGAGCTCAAAGACTTCTGAATGTTGCGAAGCTCCGTCATAATCGCTTGCGCCTCCATGATATTGTAGCATCCACCATGATGGCTGCTCAATTTTTGTTCCACACTGCGGAAAGAAGAGTGGATCGCTAAACTTAGAACAACTTTCAGTACTGTTATAAGTACTACACAAATAGCTGGCAATATAATATGATTGTCAATTATCAAAAAAAAGCATTTTTATAATTCTATGATATCTATAAAGCTTTGATTTCTTGAATTAAAATTATTATTAGAATAATTATTAATAAATATTATTAAAATAAACGTAAGACAAAATTTTGCATAACATCTTAGTAAAATGTAATGTATATAAAATAATTTGCATTACGATATGTAATTCTTAAATTAAATTTTAAATCCGGAAAGAAATTGAAATTAAATTATTTAAATAGTTTAATACAAAAATTGTTTGTCGCCGATTAATGTTCGCATATATGCAATACCTGGCGAGAGTATCCACTCCTCGTTGCGTGCAGTTCATCTCCGCTCGAATTTGCTCGAGTTCTCGTTTTAGTCGAGAAACTCGGCTCCTTGCGAGTGCCACGTCTGATTTAAGCAGGTCAGGGTCATATTTGGTACTCAAGGAACTTGAGCTGGAACACACTGCAAACCACAAATGTTCGTCAACACTTTCCGATGATAAAAGATTTTCTTTTTACCTACTCGCATTATAATATATTTAAAATCGGACATTCAATCGTGTGTAAAATATAAAATTCGAAAACTGCCGATCATAACAAATTCCTTAATTCGTAATAATGTTCTGCATTTTAACGGAACACTTTTCAATCATCAATAGGATTGACAAAACATTCATAAATACATATAACGCGCATACGGTGTCCAAGTTATTAATTAATTCAGAAAACAATTAAAATACACTTTCTGTTAAATTACACTCACAACTTGTACGCGATGCGCCAAGAGTGGTCAAGGCGTTATTGAGGTGATTGTACTCATCCTGAGCCAGGCAGAGCCTTTGATGTTTTACGTCATAGATCTCCTTCTTTGCCTATAACACAAAAATTTGAATCTTTTTAGAACAACTGTTACTAACTGATTCTCATATCTGTATCACTATCACATAACATAATGTAAGTCGTTTTCTCGCATCATTGTAATCTTTTCTCATAATGCGTGTAAGACAAATTAATTAATTAATGTGTTAAGAAAACGATAAATGCTAAAGAATGAAGGAATAGTTGCTCGTAGTTATGTAACTTTTAAATAGTTACTTAAGTTGTAAACATTTAGGTGATTGTGCTTCCATAATAGCGTTGCCGAAATCTGTTTGGTTTTCGATTATTTATATTTAGCGATCACCTGCGCAATCAAATTGCGCGTGTAGAATCGTGTGCAGAATGCGTATATCAGATGATTTTATTATAATATATAAAGATAGATGATATATGGTATAGAATATAAGTGAGGAAGATTAAATAAAATCCTCCAGGAAAATAAATTCAAAGGGTTAAATATCTTTCTTTTAATACGCAAAGGACTTTTTCTAGAGCTCCTCTCGATAATCATTGAAGAAGATCTACACTTCTGTATATGATATTTTCACAGATTAACTAATTAGAATAAAAAAGCTTTATCTCAATCATGCAGTAAGTATAATACGCTAATACACGGTATGCTTAAAACGTTTTACATGAAAAGTATAATTAAATATTCCTTTTATGCAGTTTTACGATTATTCCATATCACTGTATTCCTCGATATTCGGAAAAAGCACGATTTCGAATGCAAAGTATGCATCACGATCTCTACATATCGATCTCTAAAAAAAAATCACTAAAATCGATCACTAAAAGTCGATCACTAAAAAAAATCTCGACCGTTCACATTCGCTGGCACATAATCACATTTCGTCGTAAAAGAATTTACAGCTTTAGTGAGGAAATTTTGCAAAACACCTCTCAAAAAAACGAGAACGTAATTTTGCGAAGAAAAGCACCAAAGTACACGTCTTCGAAGAAAGGAAGCGACACACGCGATATCAACTGGCGGAACCAACAAGTACATCCAAATATTTCATATGAGTAATCCCAAGTGAGTCCTTACATATTCGCAGTAGTAATACGCTGTGGTATCAGTATCGTTGCGCTTATAACACTGCTCCCAGTAAAACCTCTGTATCTGCTCGTCGTTCTCGTAATCATTATGATAGCACATTCTCATACGATACTGCGATACGACGTTCTCGTAGATCTGCTCTTGCTGTTGCTGCTGCTGCTGCTGAATTAAGCGTTGCTGTTGATATTGAAGATATGTTGGAGGTTGCAAACTCTTGTGTTGCTGCTCCTGTGCCTGCTGCTGCTGCTGATGATGATGATAATTATTCACGTAGTTACGGTACTGATGTGCCGGTACAAGTACGCAGAGAGTGTACTGACGGTCCATGCCGAGTACACGGTGAACTGTGCGCACTCTCTGTGGCTACGTGATGCCTTTCTTCCTCTTGTTTCTCCTCCTTCACCTCCGCTTTTTCCTCTCTTCCTCTCTTCTTTCTATTCCTCTTCCACCTTCTCTCTCTCTCTCTCTCTCTCTCTCTCTCTCTCTTCGCTCCTTTCGTTTCTCCACTTCTTCACTTCCTCCTCTCGATCCCGTCTCCTGCGCTTTCGTGTACTCTTCTATCTCCTCTTTTCTCCTCGCCTCATCTTCGCGAAGGCCTCCTCGAGACTGGCCGGTGTACGGGGCCCGAAATTCCGATCCCCACCTCCGTGGGTCTCAATTTTTAAGGGATCCCACCTTTTTTCCTCTTTTTGCCTTCTCTTCCTTCGCTTCTTGCTTCGTCCGGCCAGTCCTGCCTGCCCCTCTTCGGTATCTGTCCTATCCCTTCTCCAATACCCCTTTTACCCCCACTATTGCAACCTCGCGCACACAGATTCTTTTCTCTCTTCAACGGGATGGAGCACAAACTGGCTCCACGTACTCCCTCTTCATCCTCTTCCTCCTCGTCTTCTTCTGCTTCTTCTTCTTCTGCTTCTTCTTCGTCATCTTCTCCTCTCTCATTCCAGGCGTTTCCTCTATCGTATATTTTTCATGCCATCTCTCTCTCACTTCTTGATGGCCTCAAGCGCCTCTTTCTTACCGGCGTAAAAAGGCGGGCTTCAGTAGGATTATCGTAACCGGGACCTTAGAGTTCGATTCAAACTTCAAGTTCTGATTTAGAAAGGATTAGTTTTTAAAATTTAAATGGCGCGGTGCAATGCCTTGCTCTCACATTGAAAATAAATCAATTAACTTGCCATACAATTGCTGGAACTGAAGCTATTAAATTCTTTATCTTAATAATCCATTATTTAAAAATGTGAAAATTTCTTTCCATGAAAGAAAAAAATTTCACACTCGTATTTTAGTTTGATTAAAAATTTAAGCATCATTATTATCAAAATTTTCAATTGACAAGAGTTATAAAATTGTTTTATACTAAACTATAGTAAAATGTCACTATATTAGTATATTTTGTATATTCATTGCAATAGGCACATGCAAAATTGCAAAGATGATAAAAGAAACCTATTATATAACCGATAATAACAAAAATTATAATGTCTTGCAAATATTTGTTCAGTTTTTATGTAGATAAAAATCTTCATTAGAGTAAATAAGTTTCTGTTCATTGTGCAAGGTATCGAAATCCATGTTTATCATCATCATTCTGGCCCTGGAGGGTGTCTATTTTTTTAGACTTGTGGAATGTCGTCGCATGCAATGCAATCCAGAAGCGCAGGGCGCCTGAGGGCCAGTGCACGATTCTGTCATTGGTGGGGACAGCGCGCGCGCGCAAACTATGAGGACAGGAGCAAGCGGAGGAAGGTGGACGAGAGGGTAGTCAGGATTGCTGAGGAATCAGCGGAGGACGAGGACGAATGAACGAGGGAAAGGTAGGACGAGGTATGAAGAAGGGACGCGATGGAAGGGCAAGGAAAGAGGAGGGAAAAGGGAAGAGCGGGGAGGAGATCCGGCGAGGTCACAGTACGACCCTGCTTGAACGTGGTCGCATCCCGTCGGGGCCTTGCCGTCGGTAGTAGAACCGACCTTGAGTCGCGCATTATGCCCCGTCCTTGTTGGAATTTCTGGGGCCCCTACTGGCCCCATCAGCCGTGTCTCCGGATGATCATCTAAGAGCGGGCCCAGCCGGCAGGGCAGCGGGGCCTCGCTCGTTGCTCGCCATCCCACCACTCTCCGCCAATCGTGGGGACTCGCCTCATCCGTGAGGCTCCAGTATGTGCACCGGAGGAGAGCACACGGGTTCTTTCCGCTCCTTCCCCCCCCTTTCCCTCCCCGCCTCGCCTTCCCGCATCTTCTCCGCGAAGCCATCACGATCTCTCTCTCCCTCTCCCCTTCCCCACCGCGCCACTCTTCCTCTTCGCCCTCAAAACGTCGGAGAGAACGGCGCCTCGTGCGCATATTTCTTGGTCCATACTATTATTGTTGAGAGAGCATACAGATGGTATCGAGTACAGGCCTGTTCGTCCGCTCCGCGGAAAGGGGTCTTATTTTTCCACCCGCCTGTCCTCTCCATCCTTATCCTTTTTCTTCTCCATCTCTTCCTACTTCTTCGTTGCCGTCACCGCGACGGCTCGGCGACCTCCGACTAACGCATTCTTTTTTCGTTCGATGGACTTTCTTTTTCTCTTCCCCGGAACGGCAAAATGACTTCGATTTCCGATAGGAAATCTTCGACCCGCGCTCGTGAGTCCCAGTCGTCATTCTCCTCTGATTTCAACCTCTTTCAAATATATATTTGCGATGCAATTATTTTCGTCAACGCTTTTTTTTTCTCGGTTAGCTTTTGAATTCACTCCACGATAAGAGAACATAAACATTTAGCATATTTTGTAAGCTAATAAAATTATAGCTGTGTTTTCTTTCCACTGCTTTATAAATGTAACATCATTTACTTTGTTATTTCTCTAGCAATTTTATAACTCTAAAGTTTCACAACTTTATATCATACAGATTAAACTGTCTTCTGCAATTAATATCCAAGTCTCTTAAATAATATATACATGTATATATAAATTTTGCCTAAAAATTTTTTTTTTTTAATATTTTATAATGAATGAATTAAATATATCTAGAATTAATATTAATATTGTACGATTTTACGCCTGATTCACTATAATCGTTTTGTTTACAACTATAACTGAAATGCTGGAGCTTATATCCCTATATTCTCGGTATCATTTGATGTCTAGGACATATCGCCCGCTTGAAAGGAGTCGAAGGAACGAGGGCTCTTCAGCGACAGCCGCATTCCAAGCGAGACGCCTAATACCGTTCCTAGTACGACAAAAAACAAAAGGTCATCTCGAAGGATACGAGGGGGAAGAAGGTATGGCAGGATCATACGAGAAGGAAGACGATCCGCGCATCGTCGGATCCGTGGAGAAGAGTGGGGATACGACAGGACGAAGAGGAGGCGGAAGGCGTCTCTCGGATATATTCCTGTGCAAACGGCCGCGATTTATACCGCCTGAAGCTCGCTATCCTAGAAGCCGAATACCTAACTGATTGCTGAATTCCATTCCATCGGCCTGCCTTTTCTCCCTCCTCTCTCACTCTTTCTCTCTCTCGCGCGCGCTTTCTTTCTCTTTCCTTCTTTCTTCCTGCTCTTCGTTCTCGCGAGCGCCTCGCGTCCTCCGTCTTGAGAATGCTACGGGAAACCACGAACGTCGTCGTTTGCTCTCGTTCAAAATTCCAACCATCTCGATAGAACCATCCTCACCCGAGAGTAACGTCTTCGATTTCGGATAATTCCGACAAAGATTAAACCAACGATCTGAACCAATTGTCTCAGGTATTTCTTGTGCATATACTTTCCTCTTAAGCAGTTTTTTATTTGAAGATTACACGAAAAACATTATTATTCAAAAGTAGCATCTAAAATCGCCGCGTCAGTCTTTTTTAAACGAATTATGCATTCCTAATGTCTTTTCTCTTTTAGTCCTTTCATTTTACATCGGGATGACTTGCCTCATCGGCTCACTAATGGCTCGA